TGAAGCGAGCGAGCGAAGCAGCATTCTAATATATGCAGAGAGGTGGTTTTGAAGTAATGTGGGGCCACTGTAATTGGCATACCTGTTGTGGTTTACCAGTCAGTGAATGTATAAGTATTATGGCAAAGTAAATAAATACATTTTATTTAGCGCATTGCATTGTCGTCGTGCGCCCTTGCTATGCGCAGAACATAAAATATAAGCGACGTGCGACATACAGTATTTGAGGCGTATTTGAAAGATATCGTTTTGCTTGCTTCGACTTGTAAATTATTTTGACTCAGGCTCTCAGCGTAAGGTTTATTAAAGTTTTAGGCCCTGCAAAAGCCATAATTTAGTGCATAAAATAACGTGACTGCACTTTGTGCCTTGTAATTCACTCAATGGACTTCAGCCACTGAACACTGTTAGTTCTATATTATTATAAAGTTTTGGTTCCTTAGTTTAATTTAATTACTGTGTATATAATGTGGTAAATGCGCCTAGAAGTATAATTAGACTTAATAAGAAATCCAATAGCAAAAACTTGTGTTATATAATTTACCTGTACGTCTTAAGAATGCTTTGTCATTTATATTTATACGCGTACTAAAGCAGCGCGTAATTCAACAGATTCCACTTGGTCTTGGAAATATTATCAAGGGTGGGTTGACTACAAAATTTTTGTAGTTCGCTATAAATACAGCTACTTCAAAAATATGTAGTCAGCTACAACTACTGCTACTTTTGAACAAAGGTAGTTCGCTACTGACTACAGCTACTGCTTAAAAATTATAGCGAACTATTTCGCTATTTCGCTACACTATATTTTTAGTTTTACTATATCTGGAGCATCTACTAACTCAGGCAGTAATGTAATCTATAACAAATCGACTTACGAGTCGCAATAGTAAACACAAAGCAACATTTCTGTAAGCACTACAGTGTTCAGGAGTGCAATTGAGTATTTTAGTATCTCAATATCATGCTATTCTATCATGTTGCTAACAATTTTAAAAAGTAGCGAATAGCTAGCGATTCTCTGTTTGAAAAGTAGTCAACTACTTAGCTACTTTTAGGCAAAATGTACTTCGCTATAACTACAACTACTGTTTTAAAAAAGTAGTCAAAAACTACTGGCCACTTGAAAATTGTAGTTCGCTACAGTAAAGTAGCGAACTACAACTACTTCGCTACAACCCACCCTTGAATATTATATATTCTGGCTGTAGGGAGTGGGAGTGTAGGCTATGTCTTAAGAATGTTGGTCGTTTGAATTTATACGTGCCGGCGCACTTAAGCAGCGCGTAATTCAACAGATTCCACAGTTACACTTGGTCTTGTAAATATTATATACTCTTGCTTATGCTTTAGTGAATATTACTTCCATAAACATTAACACGCAAGTATTCAATGAGACGCACATGTTTAATTTTTCAGTTTTTTAGTTGTTATTATAATTATTTTTTTATAATAAAAATGGCGCTTGCCATTTCATTTGCCTGGCGAGATCATGGCGCTTGCCATGATCTAAATATAGAGGCAGACGAAGCAAGAAAGCTTTCCGTTGACAAAATGATCGATGAGTTTGCTGAAAAAAAGACCAGGTGCGAGAAATTTAAGATGTACTGTAATGTTGTATTTAATTGAGGATGTATGTGCATAATTACAGTGGCACACACTGCACTCTTTATGTCAAAAACAATTTCCGCATAGTGCTATTTTATAGTTGTTTTCTTTATATTTTGCCATATATTTATATTTCCAGTTTAAAAAATCAATTAAAATTGGCTTCTAAACGACTAGAAAAATGTTCATGTTGTCAGAGCTCCATCTTCAAAACATCTATGATCCCCCGCCTTGGGGGCACCCAATCCCGGTAGTACCAGGGGCGGCCTGGTCCAAACTTACTTCACTGTCGTTTTGTTCTGTTTATAGTTTTAAGTCGTCGCATAATTGAGCGCTGTATGCACCGCACCGCACTCCGCAGGCTCTTATTACAGTCTATGCATGCATTATGTTCAGTTCCGTGCTCAAACATTTTTATATATTATATTTTCGAGGAGTTTGAAACATATCAGTTGTACCGTATATTGAAATTTTCATTTTGTAATTGGGAGTTAAATTCGTTTGAAAAGTCTGCAAAGATTACGCACATGATCTTCCTAGTGTTTTACTTTAGACTGAGATGCCTGCTGTTTTCCATTTGTCATTGTCGTTTACGGCCGAATTTGAAGCAGTAAAAGGTAATAATGCAATGAATTGCTACATTCAGTTATATAAAGTGCGCACAAGATTAAAACAAGAACCCTGCTGACTTATGCATGTATTTGTCATTGACAATTTGACATAGAATGGCTGCGTTACAGCCCGCTAGTGCATGTTATAACTGTTATAATTTATAGTTTCCTGCCCGGAAATGCCTAAAATGTCAAAGCGAATATAAGCATGTATACATATGAAACGTATAAATACACAATTTTTGACGTTCAAAGATTGTATAGTAATGCGTTGACGCGTTTGCTACTGCAGTTTACTACATACGAATCGTGTTTTTTAAAGAACGAGGCAACACTATATAACTAGAAATACATGCATGCAGTAACCCCTCGCCAATATTGCCATACATTAAACATGAAGTATTCAGAAATGACCAGCACTGAACGCAGGCTCGCGCTCAAGTGTTGCCATGACAACACGATATTCTTAAATTTTTATTTTTATATAATTATTTTGTACAAAACTGCAAAATAGTTGAAAGATTCGTACTTTTAACTATACAACAATAAATTTCCGAAATACACACTGTAGGTATATTATTTTGCATTTTGTGAGCTTTGATTTAATGTAAAATTGAACTTGAAACGCTTGGTAAAATGTTTTGAAATGTTCATTCAAGTAAACCTACATTTTGCCGATAAACTATTTTTACTTAACAAAACATGGTAATTTTAATACAAATAAAATAAAATTGTTAGGTAATTTCAGTTCAGTCTTCAAAACAATTTGGTCGGCTTTACACGTTAAGATTTTTTCTCAAATTAAACTGTAGTTTATGAAACTTAGAGCTTCTATAGTTCATGTTTTTTATTACTTAAAAGTTAAAGCAACAAAATTCGTAAACATTTTAAAAATATTCAAAGCAAACTTGCCGTATATTTCCCGAGTTCCCGTAGTAAACCAATTCTTCTCATTTCTTCAAACAAAATTGCTTCAAGCTTGTTGTATATGAAACGATTTTCCAAATATATGTCTTTTAAAATTGAAATCTTGCTTGCCATATCTTTGAGATAAGGATGACCACCCACTCAAGATCGCCCTTCGTTGGTCAGCGCCCGCGATGATTGATGAACTTTAGACTTCGCTAATGCTTTCGTTTCCCCGGGTGTAAATAGCCGGGGGAATTAGTACCCTCGCACGGCGCTTCGCGCCGTCGGCTCGGGGATAATGGACAATTAGCCATAACGCTTTTGTCGTTGGTCCTGTATGTTCTATGGATATATAGCTACGTAGTTTTGAAAAAACGAGGCAACACTATATATGCACAATTAGCCATAACGCTTTTGTCGTTGGTCTGGTAGGCTTTATTGATATATACGTAGTTTTGAAAGAACGAGGCAACACTATATATACGCACAATTAGCCATAACGCTTTTGTCGTTGGTCTGGTAGGTTTTATTGATATATACGTGGCGGAAAGAACGAGGCAACACTATATGTGCACAAGTAGGTTACAAATTAACACCCCCCCCCCCACCCTTAAACCATCTTTACCATCTTACGCCATATTCACCACCTGACAACAACTGTTCAGCTGAACCATCCTACACCATCCGACGCCACACTACAAGCGTCTGACAAACAAAGCATCTGACACCATCTTACACCATCTTCACCACCTGACAACCGATGGCTATATTGGACATATATGTTTATTTCAAAACCTCATAGAAGAAAACTCCTACTGATCCTGACAAAAATTGAGAAGAAATATTTCCAATTTTATAAACAAACTGTTGGGAAGTCTGCTTGGAATTTTAGGTTAACGTGTGGTTAAACTAATCGGCTGGCGAACAACCGACACCTGGAAACTATAGCTAAAATGTTCAGTACCGGTATATACAAAATTAAAGATGCTATAAAGTCCATATTCATGTGAACAAACACTTTGTTTGCATTTTGTCTATTTTTCAACTCAGTGATAGAGTTGTAAAATATGATTACAAATATATTATATTGAATTTTTAACACTCGTCTGGTTCGGCTATGCTTGTAAATGAACACAGACTAGAGAATTCAAGAAAATTCCAAAGGTGCGAAATATTAATAACATTCCAATTGTCGGGTCTCGACCATTGGAGTGCAGCAGACCTGCATTCCAAATACAGGCCTGCGCAAAACGGACTTTGCAGCATCTTTAAGTTGAGCCAACATGTCGGACACTTGGAAAACATTCGTGTAACGTTCCATTAAATTCTTTTGTGACCTTTTCACATCCCTTCTTGTATACTTCATAGCATTTCTTGGGAAGTTGGATCTCTTTTGGACCCGAGCCATCCAAAGGAAAATGGCGAATTACATTCCTACCTTCAACACATGACATTGTTAATATTGCTTTATTATTCTCTAGAACCTAAGTAACATACATAATAAGAACCTACTGTATTTATACTGTTTACATGCATCATTAGCATAAATGTTCTTATAACCTATCAACACCTTTCCTCTTATAAAAAAGTCTTTTTTTTTACAATTTTTTTTTAAAACAATAATATAAAGTTCAAATAAACAAAGTTTCTAAACAATAATATGAAGTTCAAATAAATGTTCTTATAAAGAAAAGTACTAAGTTGAGATAAATGTTTCTTAAGGATTAAACGTTACCGTATATAATCTTACGTCTTACTGGCGATTTACGAATTCTTGTCGAACGACGTGGAGGTGCTGGCTGTGTTTCCACTACTGGAGATGGTAGCACCGTTACTTGTTCCTCGGTTGTTTCCGTAGGTAATGCTATTGATGATGGTAAGGTTTCGTCTGGGAGGGATACTATTTCCAATTCTTCATGGTTCGTTTTGTGGAAAGCCTGCGGTGTGACATCAGCTTTTCGGAGCTGTTTATGGTTTCGTTGAATTAGTCCAACAGCCGTATTCACGACACACGACGTATTTAGAAGAAGTCGTATTTACGACTTCTCCATATATCCATGGTTTGTGTTTATTTTTCGGATTTGGTTTCGCGAGAACGATTTCAAAGGTTTGGGGGATGCTCTTTTATCATACTGTTGTTTGGACCGGACTCTACGCGACAATATATCATTCACAACTTCAGTGCTGGAAACAGGATGTGGTTTAAGTTGTTGAGGTACTGACACAGTGATATCTCGTAGTTTCCGATTCATAAGCCTCTGAGCAGGTGAAAACGTGTGGCCCTGTTGTGGAGTGTTCCTGTATGCCAGCAATGCCAAGTAGGGATCTTCATGCCGCGCTTTCTTCAGAATTTTTTCGCCACCTTTACCGCTGATTCTGCCTTTCCGTTGCCTTTGCTATGATAAGACGACGACTTAACTGGTTTGAATCCATATTCACTGGCTGTACTCATGACCACTGACCTGTGGACCATTGTCCCTGACGCATGCACGAGGAATTCCTGCTCTGGCAAAGTTCTTTTCATAGCATTGATGACTGCCGTTGCTGACGTATTCTTTAGCCAATCAATTTCTATGAAATCACTGTAATGATCAACAGTTACCAAGTACGTTTTAAAATCCAATTGAAATAGATCAACACTTATTCGTTCCCATGGAAGTGTGGGAATCTCCTGAGATTTCATCGGTTCGGTTGGTCGTTCTGATTTATACTGTGCACACAGACCACATGACAAGCAGGTTTGGCGTATTGCCGCTGACATACCTGGCCAGAATAGTGTTTCTCGTGCTCTCCTTATGCTGCTGTCTGTACCTTGATGAGCTTTGTGAATCTTGTTTAACATTTCTTGTCTCATTGATGGTGGGATGATTACTTGATGAGACTTCAATAGTACACCATTGTCAATAGAAATCTCGTCTCTGAAAGACCAATATGGCCGAAGGTCTACAGGTAGCGATGCTCTATCTAACGGCCATCCTATTAGTACTGTTTCATAAAGTGATTTCAATGTTGCGTCGCTTGATACTTCTTCTTTTAGTCGCTCCAAGGTGACATTAGACAAGTTAGGTGGTTTAAGGTTCATCGATGATCATTCCATGCGAAACACTTCTTCTTCACTTGTCCCCATTGCCGTGGGATTGGTTAAAGCTGCTCGAGACAAAGTATCTGCTATATACATCTCCTTCCCTTTTTTGTACTGGACCGAGAAATGGTACTGTTGCAACTTGAGCATCATGCGCTGAAGTCGTCTAGGTGCTTTACTTAAAGGTTTTCGGAAGATTGTTTCCTGTGGCTGATGATCTGTGTGAACGAGGATGTTTTTCTTCCCGTAGAGGTATTGGTGGCATTTGCTCATACAAGTAACGATGGCCAGACACTCCTTCTCAATCTGCGCGTAGTTTCTTTCAGTTGAATCAAGAGTATGCGACGTAAAACACACTGACTTTCCGTTCTGAAGTAAAACCCCACCAATTGCTTCATTTGAAGCATCTACTTGCAAGGTTACAGGTAGCGTGACATCGTAGTACTGCAGAATAGTGCTGGATGCAATGAGATCTTTCGCCGAGTTGAATGCGCTTTCGTGAACATCTGTCCATATGAATTCTACGTTTAATCTAGTTAGATCTCGCAATGGTAAGACAATCTTACTCAGTTTTGGGCAAAACTTCGACAGGTATTGACACATTCCCAAGAAACGTTGAACTCCATTTCTGTCGACAGGCTTTGGCATCTCTTGTATAACGATCACTTTGGATGGGTCAAGGGCAACGCCTTTGTCCGTGAGGATGTGTCCCATGAAAGAGACCGAAGTTGCTTTGAATTGGATTTTCTTGGGTGATAATCGCAGGTCACGTTCGCTACATCGGTCCAGTAATGCAATTAAGTTCGTATTGTGATCTTTACTTGCTTGTTCGTCTGTATCTCCACATCCAAAAATGCAAATGTCATCAGCGATGTTGATGACATCCTCCAAGCCCTCCAGAAATTCTTGCTGTCTTCGTTGGTATTCTTCCGGACCAGATGAGATTCCAAATAGCATGCGCAGATATCTATAGCGTCCATTTGGGCCTTGGAATGTTGTAAGTAAAGAGGTATGTTCATATAAAACTACCTTGTGGAACGCCTCCGACGCGTCAGCAATTGTAAACACTTTCGCTTTAGTAAGAAATGGAAGCTTTTCTTCGATT